ATTATAATTAGTGCCAATTAAATAAATTTGTTAGGAGTGTTTCTGAATATGTTTCATCCATGTTAAAAATCTTAGGTATGGTTGTAATTGGTGTGAATGGAACCGTTGCCTCTGGGACATCTACTAATGGTGCAGTCCACAAAATTCCAGGGTTAGTATCTCTGGTTTTACAAAAAATGCTTTTTTCCCAGCTTATTTCCTATGTTAAGCTTGTCATTGGTGCTGTAAAGAATATAACCTTTAGATCACAAAATGGCCTTGCTTATTCTGTGTGCTGCCATAAATCCTAATACTGAGAAGCTGGTTCGGTTGCAAGATGATTTGTGTTTGTCTGAGGGAATGTTTGTTTTTCAGGAGCTTAATTCACCATACAGAAACACAAACAACTAGGACAGTTGCAAGGCAACTTGTAAGGCAAGGCACCAGAGACAAATAAACATTTTGAAGACATGCACAGTCTCCAAAGAAATGTACATAGAATCAGAGCCTCAGGCTTGTGTTTTGTCTTTGACTTACTTTTTTACCCAGTTAGGATTCTTGTCTGTCAACCAAGTCAGACAACTTCTGGATTTAGCAACAAGTTATTGAACATATAATGTCCCCAGCTGTTTACTGTTGCCCACAGGCAAAACCTTACTGGCCTGACTGACTATAGTCAATATAATAACACACAGTTGTGCACTGGAGGTGGATTAAGCCTCAGGTCAGTCAGGTTATCACAGATCACTTTTATTGCTAGTTTTAAGACAAGACTTCTGACCGCAGTGGAGTGACCTCTTTACCTTTTCTGTTCTCCCGTGGGTTTAGTGCAAAGTCAGCTGGAGGCAATAATGCTGACAAAGTTTGGTTTTTGTTTTTATTTTCCATTGTTCACTACAGCCGTGTTGGGGATTCTCCAATAGCTGGAGCAGGATCCTATGCTGACAGTACAGCCGGAGGAGCTGCAGCCACTGGGGATGGTGACATCATGATGCGCTTCTTACCCAGGTTTGTCCTTAGGGCAGACTTTGCTAACTTTCTGCAGCAAAATGCAGACTCAGCAAATGAAGTAACTGATTAAAAAGACAATCTGACTTAGTGGCTGCTGAAGTGGGAGTAAAGGAAGGAATGGAAGGGGCTAAAAACAGTAGCAGAATCGAGTTATACTGATGATCTGTCTTAAGAGAACTAAATATCTTGATGACAGATCCCTTAGCACTGCCAAGTTGCGAGCAAATCAGCAGCAGGTAATGACTGTATTCCCAACCCATATGCTTTTTATCAGAACTGATTGGCTTTCTTCTCTTAAGTGTTTTGTTGTGTGAGAAATAAGTATTATAGATTGTAGAAAAGATGAGGCATGGGTCTTAGATTGTTCAGGAGCATGGGGAGGTGTCACTGCAACAATCCTATGTAATTGCATGTAATTTGAAATTGGAAGAGGTGTTTTAGTGCTGTCATCATGGTTGCATAAACTGTGTAAAATATGGCTGTTTTCATCACTGAGTCTTGACAATCATCCTTGTGGGTCGGTCTCAGCAAGAATGAGTTATGGAAATCTGTGCTGAACTTAATGGGCACTGATGCTTGAAGGAATATATAGCAGTGGCCTTCTTATTGTTCAGGTGCTTTTTCTGAAACACTGGCAGCTAGGAATGCCTGCTAGCTATTCCATATTTACAAATGTCCTCAGTGAGATTCAAGCTGATCTTAGTCAGTCTTGAAGTACAAGACAATTAACAAATTCATGAGTTAACTATCCTGTTGTATCAGATACCAATAGTAGTAGCAAGTTGAGCTCTACTATGGAATTAGTCAATAAAAATGTACATTACACTTTAGCAGCTTGAAGTATTTGCTGCAATGCTTAAAACATTGTGTTTTAAATAGAACAAAAATTCAGACTAGATGGTTAATCACAGGTTTCTTGTAAATAAGGATTTTTACTAATTCTGTGTTATTTAGATACTCCCACATGAAAGCAAACACTAGAATTGACCTGCCAGAAGTAAAGGAAGTGTCAAATAAAAGGCCAAAATCACTAATATTTTCTGTCTCCATCTTGGAGATACTAACTTCTTACTGAGTTTTTGGTTAGTGAAGAGACCCTGTGAAATATAGCTTTATATTCAGATAGTTGCATTTAGATGACTTGAACCTACTTGATTGTTAGAATAAATCAAAGATAATAGGAAGTCTCAACACACAAGAAAAGTTCTTTTTTGCGGTACTTTGATACCACCTGTGGTTAATGCTATCTGTAGATGTCCTAGTGTAGCAAGAGTTGGTTTTGGTATATGCATCTTTCATCAAAACAATGTCTTTGCTTGTAAATTAGGTTGTGTTACCATTTAATGTTCAGGTTCTGAAAGAAAATGGCAACAAAAGTAATTTTTTACCTCTGAGGACGTTTTGGAAATGCAACTGATTGATCTCAAGCAACTCCTATATTGTCGTTTGTCTAATGACACTGTAGATAAAAAGGAAGTTCATTTTGATTGCTCTTTTACTTAGACTGAGATTTTTTAAAAATTAGTTTTCAAAAAAATTGAAAGTGGCTCAAAGTCTTGATAAAAACATTTTGCCATCATATTCATAAAATAAAGAAAATGTGTCAATTTTGATGTTTTCAGAAACACATATTTTTCTGAAAGATTTTTAATGCTTACTGAAATCAGTTGTCAATGTAGTATTGGAGGTCAATTTTTTCAAAAAATTATCTTGACTTTAGCCTTTTTGAAAGCTGGCAATAACTTCTAATGTTAACTTAATCATGCAATGAAAAATAGAAGTCACTAACTCCTTAACTGCTTCTTTGCAGTTCTTTAACTGATCTGTTGCTTAGCCTCTTCTGCTGTAAATGATGAGAGTTATTCCAGGCTTGGTCCTGCCATAGAATTGTAGATGGTACAGATGACGTCCTGTTGTCCCCTTTAGTCCTGCTTTTTCTGACTATTTATGTAGAACTTGAGTAATAATTGCCAATATGAAGGTGGCCTAAAAATTGGTTATCATGTGTTTCCATTATTCAAAGAAACCAAGGTCTCTCTGTGGTTTTTTTAGTATATACAGCCTGAGCATGGCTAACTGTCTGGGTATGGGGTTGGTTTTTTTTTTAGTTACCAAGCTGTGGAATACATGAGAATGGGAACAGACCCAACAGTAGCCTGTCAGAAAGTTATTTCCAGAATCCAGAAGTATGCTCCAAAGTTCTTTGGTGCTGTCATATGTGCCAATACAACTGGAAGTTATGGTATGTATTTTGCTTTGCAGACAAAGGTGCTTGACCCTAACTAGATCACAGAAATACAAAACTAAAGGTGGATTTTAAAGCAGAAGTCTTAAACTAGTCTTTGAAGACTGCAGCAATACTGGCCATTCGTAGTATCAAATGCTGGTTAGCAGGGCAACTGTATCCTAGTGTGGACTGGAGATGTTTTAATTTTCTTTTGCATTTTGATGTCTTAGACTTTCAAGAAACTTATGTCAGTCTTAGTGTAAACCAAAAATATTTGCAACCTTCATGTGTTTTGTTGGACTGTGTATGATTAATTTGAAGGTTTTAAAAGAGAATCCTTCCCTAGATACAGCATGAGGGAGAGAGTATGTGGTTGTTTAGTATAGCTTCAAAGCAGTCCAGGAGCAGTCATTGTGCCAGGCATCTCATTAGTGAACTCTTAGATCAGTAGGAAGTACAATTTGCTAATCAACATGGCTTATTCAGTTAGACTGCTTGTTACTGTTCTTTGATCTCTTATTTCCCATAGTTCTGTGCTTAAGAGATTAGTGTTGAAGGAACTCATTAAATTAATCAGGATTGAAAGAGAGAGATATTTTCCTAACTTATATTACTGTTTTGAATTGTAATTGCACTATAGCAGTCAGTAGTACTGTATTTTAACTTAAATACTTTCAAGATGTCTTTGGTTAAACAGATTGTAACAGAATAATTACACCATTGTAGTAGAATTAGTAACTGGGTCTCTAGATGATAAAGCACTGTGACAAAGACACTAATCCCAAATGTAGCAAATTACAGGGTTTTTTTATTTCTTTCCTAGGTGCTGCATGTAATAAAATTCCAGGATTCACTCAGTTTCACTTCATGGTTTCTAGCCCTTTGCTAAGTCAACCAACTGAGCAAGTAGTAGATTGCATGTAATTTCTTTTGTCTTATTAGCATCTCAGTTTAGAGGAGGAAAGTGCCAAGGTTCCTCAAGTGTTACTTTTTAAAACGGTTGTTTCAAGCATGTAATAGCTGTTATGGTCTGTTTTCCTAAGAACTGAATAGCCAAAAGTGATGAATAGTAACCATTGAACAGGACCTTTGTTTGCTATTTGAAAATACGTTTGTCAGAAATCTGGAGTAAAAGACTGGGAGTGGGAGGTAATACGACTTTACACATGAGACTTATTTTGAGAATATTTCATTTTCTAAGATTTAGTTCAGGTTTTCTTTACTCTTGAAAAGAAAATTGCATAGAAATGCTGATGAAGAAGTAAAGGGCATTGAAGAGTAGTGGACACTTACTTCAAAGCTTTAATGAAGAGAGAAGAAACATCTCCTTGCAGACCATTCTAACTTGTTTCATAACAGCTGAGAATACATTTGAATGAGAGAACATGCAAGCATCCCTGCTACTACAAGCCTTCGAGGAATATTGCATTGACTCTGACTGGATGTGACGACAATTGAAAATCTTCCTGTCACCTGTATTTTGTAGTGAAGTAGGAAGCTCTGTGGGAAGTTAGGAATTGTAATCACAGTGATTTCCTTGTCACTAATGTGCTGTGCACTCACCTTTTCCTGTAGCACATTTCCCCCTGAAAATGAGAAACTGAATACCTAGACCATGGCAGTTACCTACAGCTCTGGGTTTTGTCACTCTCTCTCTCTAGAGACATCAAGACTCATTTGTAATAGAATTTCAGCATCATGAGGATTGTTCCATAGTTATTTGTTTGATTATTCTCTTAACTTGGTGGCTTGCTGATCATTTGATTGAATCTTTGCTAAAATTGAGCTATGAAAAGGGGGGAGAAGTAAAATGAACGTCTTGTCATAATCACTTTGATTATTCTTTGTCTACTTGAATAAAATGATTGAGAAATAAAAGCATACCTTTAATATAAGTAAGGTTGTTTTAGATGCTTGTGTACGGTGCCTAAGACTGATTGTTGCCTTATGTTCCAAGTTGGTGTCTTTAAAAGATGGAAATAAACCAAACTAGAATAGCCATATTTAATGGCCTGCTCTTGAACTTCATCAACCAAGTGATTTATTGGAGGATTCACTTCTGTCACTGGATCTTCAGAGCATCTTATAGCAGAGTTCAATGCAAGCCACAACAAGCTTTTGTCGGAGAAGCTCCTGTTGAATGTATCTGTAATGGTTTAAGGTAAGTTTTCTACCTGTCATACCTACAGCCCTTCTGCCATGGCTGGTCTGTCTTCAGATGACTCAAGCAGTGAAGTGCAAATATTTAAAGTGCAAATAATTAAAAAATTACTGATGATTGTTGCTTTGAAGATTGCATTGTGCATTCTGAACATAGAAGGTTCAGTACTGGGAGCTTAGCAGTCGCGTCTCAAACTGCTGCAGCTGAATGCACCAGCATTCATTTCTGAAAGAGGTTGGGAACATCCATGGTGCATCTCAAACTGCTGCAGCTGAATGCACTAGCATTCATTTCTGAAAGAGGTTGGGAACATCCATGGCTTTCTTTCTAGTGTGCCTATGCCACTCTGTGCTAGCTGGTGTATCCAGCAGAGGTTATGAATGCCCTATAGCTTTATTTTGAAGTCACTGTTACTATGCTGTAGGCAACTCATCTCTGCTGGTTGACAACTAGCAGCATGTCCAGGTGGCCAAGAAGGCCAGTGGCATCTGGGCTATCAGAAATAGTGTGGCCAGCAGGAGCAGGGCAGTGATTGTCTCTGAACTCACACTGAGGAAGCCACGCCTCAAGTACTGTGTCCAGTTCTGGGCCCCTCACTTCCAGAAAGACATTGAGGTGCTGGTGCATGTGCAGATATGAGCAGCAAACCCGGTGAAGGGTCTACAGAGTAAGTTGTATGAGGAGCAGCTGGGGGAGCTGGGGCTGTTTAGTCTGGAGGAGGCTCTACAACCTGAAAGGAGGTTGTAGCAAGGTGGGAGTTGGCCTCTTCTGCCAGGTAAACATCAACAGGACAAGAAGAAATGCCTCAAGCTACACCAGGGGAGGCTCAGGTTCGACATCAAGAAAAATTTCTTCACCAAAAGGGTGGTTAAAGGCATTGGGATAGGCTGCCCAGGGAGATGGTGGAGTCATCTCTGGAAGTGTTGCAAAAACTGGAGATGGCACTTGGTCCTATGGTTTAGTTGGCATGGTGGGGTTTGGTCAAAGGTTGGACTAGGTAATCTTGGAGATCTTTTCCAGCCTTAATGATTCTCTTCTATGAAAATGACTTGTATCCATGAGACATACACACTAATATATGTGGTTTGGTAATGTGGGTTGCTTTGGAATGAGGAGTTAGTTATGAATGAAGGGGCTAGTTTATGTAAATGATTTTGATGTATTGTTAATCTGACAATATATTAAATCATAATATTAAAAATGTGCCATTCTGATGTCATGGACAGAATTCTGAATTTAAAAAAATAATATGCTTAATATTTTGTCTAAATTATTTCTTTAAACGTTCTTAGTGGTGTTCTGTTATGCTTACCAGATGCATTAATTTTTTTAAAGAAATATATTTACAAGTACAAGCTCTTGCCAAGAGTAGGCAAACTATGACAGTTTCTGTTAGGGTTGCAAAATAAAAATCTTACTGTTTTCTATTTCCATGAAGTTTATATTTTTAAGTTTTTACTATCCAATTTTACTACAAAAGTCAGAAAAAAACCTACAAAGATATGAGTATGCGCAATTTAGTGGTACAGTTGAATGGATTCTGTCTAAAGTTGTGAAGCTTTTTTAAGTTCATTAGCTTCTAGCTACCCTGCTCTTTTCTGCTTCTGAAACATTTTACCAAACTAATGCTTCATGTACTGTAGACAGAAAAAGAATGGTCAGTGGTTTGACTAAGAAAATGAACTATGCCCTGTTTTTGCATGGCACCAAATTGTTCTTTAATAAGGCAATCTGTGTGAACCCTGACAATGTTGTTTTGTGTGCACTTATTGAAGAAAACTTCCCTGACATTTCACCATTTGTAGGTTACCACTGCAATGTGTTCTTTCATCTGTAACTGCCTCAATCAGGAATAATTTAGAGTTTCAGAGATTCGAGGTCAATTCTCAGATGGAACCTACAAGTAATACTACATAAACTGGAGTGAATCTATTATCTCTTCAGAGTAAAAACAGAAGTGATACTGAAATTCTTCTAATAGGATTTGTTGTTTGGGTTTATCACGTGACTGTTGTAACTCATTAACAGTGCTGTTCAATCATGTTTTGAAACAGAATATGTGCAGGATTTCAGTGCTATTATCTGTAGTCTCTGTGTGTGAGGAAACATCAGTGAGACAGTTTAAATTGCTTTAGCTCTAATATACAACTAGTATGTTACACGTTAAGCACTGGACTACAGATGTTCTCACTTGGGGGGGCTGTTCATTCTTCCACAAAAATTCCACTAAATGTACAGCAAAAACTGAGCAGATGTGGTTGAATCTCAGGATTTTGTGACTCGTTTTGCTATCATTGTTTAGGCTGCTGAGTCAGGAACAAGCATTTTTAGATGTTTGTGCATTCAGTAATATTAACTGTGTTTTGTTTATTTGTCTCCTGACAGTTGGAATCAGTGTAGGTAGATAGAGCTGCTGGTGCAGTGTTCTCTTGGTGTGATTAGTTCATGCCTTTATAGTGACAGGTGGTGGTCTGTGAAAAAAAAGCAATAGCAACTTCAGAGTGTGCCAGTTCAGGGAATTCCTGTTACTAGTGACTTTTTTTCCTCCCTGATGGGGTAGGGGAAAAAAAGTTATTTTTCCAAGACAAGTATAGAGGGATTGTTACAGAACCTAACCCTCCCAACAGGAGAAAGGCTTTGTGTGAAAAAGTGCCTACTTATGTCTGATCTTATCTGCATTTGCAGTTTGTGTTTAGTCTTTGTAGAATGTCAGGGTAACTGAACAGGACAAATGCACGGCGGTACTCTGACACTTGAATTTTTTGGCTTTTTGTTGTTTTAAATTTGAAATGTATAAGACATTTCTCTGCTGAAGGTTAGGTAATTTGAATTCACAAATAATGTGTAGTTACAGATGAGCTTTTTGTCAAACATTGGCAGCTTTTTGTAATTTTTTCCTGTTGATTAATTTCTTGTAAAAGAAATTACATATTTACATATAGACATTTACAGGTTACAGTGGTATTTCAGAATACTATGTGAAGTAACTGTAAGATAAGATTGTAATTGCAAAACTGAGATGGGAAATATATGCCAAGTAATTTCTCTCACATAGAATTTTATGTTCTGGATGTTTTATTGTTGGAAAATCTGAAGAATGTTTGCCTTCATGTTAATTTCCACAGACTCTGTTACCTCATTTGGTTTACTTATAACCTTCACTTAAATTGCTGTATAGTTCCTCTTGTTTCACAGGACCTTGACAAATTAGATTCTCTTCAGGACTCCCTCTTCTCTGTGGGATAAACAAGGTTTTTCAGCAAGTTGTTTTCACAAAAGTAATTTCATCTAAGGCTTAAATTACTGTTTAGGATGACTTTTGCTAAGGGCCAGTATCGCATACGACTGAAGCCATGTCACAAAAATTTCAAGAATCACCTCCAACCCAAATATATACCTTAAACTTACTACAAACTATAGCAGTTTGTAAAGTATTCTCTGGTCTGTCTAAACCTTTCTTGCCCGTAAAAACATGCTGCTTTTCCTACCTCCCTCCTCTGAAGTCAGAATACTGGTAGGTATTTTCTGTTCTGCTGCCACTAATGGTACTTTATGCTTTCTTCAAGTATGTTGTTTGTTGTTTTATAAAGGTTTTCTCTATATTAATTTTGCTTTCTTTGCTATCAGCAGACCTGTGTCATCATAACAGCTTTCTTGACACATTCTGTCCATACCCACCCAGATTCAACTGTTGGTTAATTTTCTTTTGGAAGTTTGTTTCATGCATGATATAGACTGTGTTGTATTATTGTTTTGTCAAGTAGTATTTGGCAGGGAGGATCCCAG